TAGTATGTTTTAGTAAGAATTCAACTTCAATATGTCCCAACATTTAAAATTTCGTTTTAGAAATTTACCCTTCCGTAAGTAAAATTCAAATTTCCAGCTGTATCACAATAACAAATACCATAATCAAAGTACCATATTCAGGTTCGGAAACTCAAGCTAGTAACATTGACTGTGCACAGAATCTCAAAAGAATAACCAAACTTCCATCGTGACATTTTAAATTAACTAAAAGTCTAAAAGTCTGCAGGTAGCATATTACAGAAACAGATATCAGATTCACGATGTTTGAGCAAAGCCATTATTCAGGTGCAGTAAGATAGGAGGTATAAAACAACCACTTGGTTTCTGTCTGCATTGTGTGCTAAGATGTGAGATGGTTCCCATACCTGTCATGGAAATTGAAAAAAAAAACACAGAAATAAAACTAGTATATAGCTTGTTTGTTGCAATTATACAATAAGTTTGTTGCAGTTTATTCTAAAATGCAATTTCACACATTGATTGAATTCAAGGTGATATCTAATACCAACAAGCTTGGACCTAAAAGCCCAGACAACATTTTCTAAGTAGATCATCACATCAGTATGTTTCGTATTTGATAATCAGTTCTTCAGGCTTTGATAATCAATTCCAACTGATGAAAGAAAGTACTGAAGGAGCTAGAATAACAAAAATAGAAAGATGAGAGGCAGATCATTACAGGCAGTAACAACAACTTCCAATTGATGTACTCACAACTTATAATAATCTGTCCTCTCACCTAACTCCACACTTATCTAACACATCCATTACCACCCTTCATTAGTCCTTAAACTCATCATCAAAATCAAAGAACGCAAATCAAAAATACATAAAAGGTAAACAGAAAATGTTGGGACTTGTTCGAGGCCTGTTCAAAACAGTATAAATCTGAAAGGCACGGAGAATCACTTATTGATATTGCCAACCTTCAATGCAAATTGAGCCATTAGATAATTAATATTATCAGACACCTTTGCTCTGCAAATTGGCTTAAATAAATTTATTCACAATATAGCAATTTAATCAGTTGTAAACTAAAAAGCAATCAGAGAACTTTGAAGACCATTATACTAAATTTTTCAACATAAAAATTCAGAATCATCAACTCATCATTTTGCTTTACTTGAGAATTTTAAAATAATAGTTCAATTCAGTAGTTTACAAAAGTAGGCCAAATGTTGTTTCTCCTAAACATGGTGACTTAACAAATAATTGTCAAGCAACAATTAAAATTTGGGAAACAATCAATTTGGCACCATGCTCGTAAAGTCTATAAAATCAATAAAATAGACCATGTATTTTGGTGCAAAGATCAAATTTTTACAAAATTTTCTGAAAATCCCAAACATTTTAATCCATAATAAAGCCTCAGAATTGCAGAAGAATCAACAAGGCTATAAAGCCAATCAGTCCCGAAAGATGGTGTTCTTTATAACTGATCTCCTCATAGGCATTAAACAAAAACCCAAACTATGAATCAAACAAACAAAAGACAATACATGAAAAGCTAGAAAAAAAAAGATGGGAAGAAGATCATTACAAGCAGTAAGAACAACTTCCAACTGTTGCAATTACCAATTATAATGATCTATCCTCTCATCTAATTCCCCATTTCACTTATCAAGCATCATCTTTCTTCAATTCAACTCATCATAAAAAATAAATTTGTA